AGGGGCTCGCCTGGGGCTGATTCTGGTGGGGTCCGTCTCACCTCGGCTGTACGACTGTACCGACGGAGGTTTTCTGTGGTTTACTCCGTCTCTCGCGGGAGCAAATGCGGTACAGTGTGCCAAGTCGGCCACAGCTGCAAGGTTAGGTAGAGGATAGATGGCGGAGTAAACCGAAGGATTTAAAATGCCTTAAGGTACTTCCGCAGTAAGTATACTTGGTGAAAATTTCGAAATGGTATAAAGACGCAATATTTGGATCATATGTTGTTGACCACATTAAAAAGATATGCTCCCAAAATTTCAAGTCCCTGGTCCACCCCATTTTTGAGATATGCATCGCCAAACATTCAATTTTTGTGTTTTTTTCATTTTTGACGATGTATATCTCGAAAATGGGGTGGACAAGGTACTTGAAATTTTGGGAATAGTTTTTGAATGTGCTCAACAACATATGATCCAAATATTGCNAAATATTGCGTCTTTATACCATTTCGAAATTTTCACCAAGTATACTTACTGCGGAAGTTCCTTAAGGGGAGACGAAACCCCTTTGTCTACATCAAATCTTAGAATTGTGTTTTCTCCTACAATTACTAATTTCTATCTACGAAATTACTTTATCGACTCGATTATCGCATTGTTGAGTCAATAAAGTAGTTTAGTGAATAAAAAATAATAATGGCAGGAGAAAACACAATTCTAAAGATTCATATGAACGCAGGGGCTCCGTTTCCCCTTAAATAAAAAAAAAAGTAAACGATGTACAGAAAACGGAACTTAAAATACACTTGTAATTTTAATTCAATCTCGAATGAATTACTCTCGTCAATTAACAAGACAAATAATAACAAGATGCATTCACCGCCGGGACAGTTTCATTAATTCCAGATGATGAAGAATATGCTCGTGCTTTTCTCGCAGTCGGAAAGAGAAAAACAAAAGACAAATAGAGCGTGAAAAAAAGTGGGCGTTATTACTCAAGGGAGAATAACAAAAAATTGGTTTCTTAATAAGCTTACCAGCCTGGTAGAAGTCCGGAAAAATAATGGTGAAAAAGTCGTAAAAGAAATGGTCAACCCAGAGAGGATCAATGATCTATCGTGTACAGGGAAAAATTCCGGAAGAGGCGACGAGGTGGTGGTAAAGGGTAACATGAAAAGAGCGTCAAGACAGAGTGAGGGAGTAAGGAGACAACGTCAGTGGTTATGCCTGCAAACATCCCAGAGGAGAAATCCGGGATAACTGCCACCTAATGCGAGTGGTCGTCGACGGCATACGAAGACCCATGGGTAAAGCTCTGGAAAGCTTGGAGCTTGCTTGGAAGATTTTCGTAGCGACTCCTCGGACGAGTGAGTGCGACGAAGTTAGCTCGATGTGACGGAGAGAAGGGTAACATGGACGAGTGAACGAGGAGTTGCGGTTGATGGTTAGTGCCCGTGGAACGGTGCCGGAGGTGGTGTCGGGGAAACTTGAGGCACTTGAAAGGGACTGAAGGAGGGATAGATACTGCCAGGTGAGGACGCTATCAGAGGGAGCGTACCCCATTGCGCTAACTCCATTAGCCGTAGCCAAGAGACGCCAGTGGAATTTGTAAAATGTACGAGTTGACGGTGATATGTCGAACTATCACGTATATCTTCACCGGCTCATTCACCCATACCAAATTCACTCTCTCCCACTGCTCACAGACGAGTTTCTCTTCAGTCATTTCAATATATGCACTTTGTTTATATACCAGGGTAGATACAACCCGTCGACTATCCCTAGAGATCTCGTCTACACGTGATGTTGATGAGTATCAGCCTAGACGTTAGCAGGATGTTTATACGTTACACTTTATGCAGGAATATAGGCTCCTTGATATTTTTGTAGTGTCGTCGTCTCTCTCGACTGAGTGCACAACTTCTCTCATTAGAATTTTGAAATGCACTGCAAGCTACGATGGGGTTTCAATTATTTTTCTCTGCCATGTTTTTCCATCCCTTTGTAAGTTGTTTCATCATTGAAACGTTGCTTCTTTTCGACGAATACATTTGTGCTGACTTAACTGTCTCGCGTTGTATCTCTTGCCACTTTAAGCATGGATACTTCTGCTTTTACCCCGCGGCACCATTTTGATCCTTGAAAGATTAGAGGAATGAATCCGAGGAAAACGTGGCAGCTGGGGGGGATAGGGGCCACTAGAAGGTGGTATACTGCACGAATAAGAGGGCAAAGAAACTTATTTCTTCTGATTCTCACGGACTGTCGGAGAAACGTGCTAACGCTGCAAGGTAAAAACGACTTTATGGTTTAGTTGGCATTATGGGTTTAAGACGATGAAATGCCAGCGTAAGTGGAGATGAGAAGAGCGAGGGTTTAAAAAGAGGGGAGAGAGCGTAGTTTGCAAAAAATGTGCTTGAATCTGATTTGAGCAGTAGTTTCCGCGAGAATTGCCGTGGCAGTGAGGACAATCGAAATTCATGCGAAAGTTATAACCACTTTAACGCAACTGCTCCATAACTTTATACGCCAGCCCACCAATGACTTTTCCACTTCTAGGTATGACCTCGTTCTGTTTATTTTTCTATTTAATCTCACACAATTTTCGTTTTTTTTTCACCTTGTATTATGTTGTAGAGCTAGGGCTCTTATCCCTCATCATTTTCCATTTTATTTCACCCTATCTGGCTTCCAAGTCATGTCGTGATGTGAGAATGAAAGACCGTGGATGATAGATAGAACGAGATAGGGAACACAGTCGACCTGGGTTTCAGGTGAAATTTATGATGACCACAGTCGCCTTCTATTTATTTTTCCTGTTAGCCGTGTGTCCGGCATTCGATTTCATTCGTGGGAAAGCCCCATCGTGTTTCCATTCAACCCGCAAAACCCATCTCAAAATTGTTCCAACACCCTTTTGTATATTCAGTGGTGATGGGAAAAGGAAGTATCGAAGCAGTGGTTTGGAGCGAAGGAAGAGAGTCGATTAGCGACCATGTCCAATCGTCGATTCATATTCGATGTACGTGAGGTCCCGTCGGTGAAGTGCTATCTGTACTGGGGGCTCCCATAGAGCCTTCAGCACGAGCTAGCAGTTACTTGGATTTGTAGTTGTTCAATTCAATGTGTTGTACTCAGTGGTGTATCGAGCTCCCACTGTGTACGACTACAACAGACGCGTTTGAATTACCATATCGCACTGCAGCTATTGAGCTCCACTATCATCAATGCAATTTCAGTGAGCCAGGAGAGCTTACGATCTCCTCAAGATCTCCATGAATTTACAAAACTTCGTTGACTTTTACAACAATCTTGGGGGAGTGTACACGGAGAGAATTTTTTTAGGAAAATTCTATTGCTGCTACTGGAAAAAAATTCCAATCCACCGGCTGTGCAAAATTCTAGTACTGTAAAGGTGAAATTTCTAGGGATTTCCGATAGAATTTCCGTAGATTTCTGTGACAATTTGTTCAATTCTGATTTTGACCAATTAGAGTGCAGTATTCCACGTCACGTGACGCGTTTACACACTGATAATTTCCCCGGCTCAAATTCTTAGAAAACAATTGACAGATATTCCCCACATTTTGGTGAAATGTGTCCCTTACCCGCGAACACTGCACCCTGATCGGCCAAAATCAGAATTGAAGAAATTGTCCTCCGTATACCCCTCGACCTTCAAAATTCATCGGGTATTGTCCACAAGTTTTTCTGCATATCAACGATCGGGATCAGTTTTGCAGATTAAAATCCCGAGCGCGCAGCGCGAGCAACGAGAGCATACACTAAGAAGACAAGTGCTTTTTAAGAAATACGTCTCTACTTGTATCAAGAAATTCATGGCTCGAAATTTACCAAGCGTACAATATCTCGCACTAAGACAAAAAAATCGTACGCCAAGAAATTTTATCTTTGTCCGAAAGATGAGGGCAATTGGTTCATATCAAGAAAACGATTTCCCAAAATGATTCAAGTGTTTTTTGCATTAAAATACTTTAGAATTGAGGCTAAAAACTATTAAATGAATTGATTCAATTTAACTTGGTATGAGAAATCGCTTTCTTGTCATCGAGAAATCGTCCTCGTCATTAAGACAGGCACAAAATATCTTGACGAAAGTTTATTTTTTCTTACTGCAAGCTATGTTGCTCTTGAAAATTTTAAAGGCACGAGTTTCATGATATAAGTAAAGATGTACTTCACAAAAAACTTTGTTTGTCTCAGTGTAGGAACGAGAGGGAGCGCAAAACTGATCCGTCTCGTTGCTATGCAACAAAACATTCGAGAAATATGCGATAATGTTGAAGGTCTTGGCTTATTATAGCTGAAAATTACATCGTTTCATCAAATCAAACATCTTAAGAAAAAGAAAAAAACGATAGCTCGTAATTGTGAAGAAAACCGGATGAGTATGATAAGTATTGCCTGCAGAGCAGTATAGACCCACCCTCCCCTATATTGTATTATCTCATATAAAAGCTAAACATTGTACTGTATTGGTATTTTAGGGCTTATAAAAAGCGCACCACCAAGTGATTTCCAGTAAAGCAGAAAATTGGAATGTTAATAATTAAGTGGGTATTCGCCGTCGGGCTAGAATCCCTCTTCCTTCCTCTCACTACACTAATACTTCAACCCTCTTCCTTCTCGTACAACGATCTCCAGAATGCATTTATTGTAACATACTTGTACAAAGGTCACTTGTATATAACTCACCTGCACACGAGACGCGCATTATCACCTTTGAATGTGTACGGTGGAATACTAATAGAGAGCAACTTCAATCCCTCCACTGAAACAAATTTATGAGAGGAATATTATTAGGGAATTAATGCAAACGATATTACTAAATTTAACAAGATATAGGATATGAAGATTATGAATAGTTTGATGCATTGGACTAAACCACACATTTACAACATCAGGATCAAGTGATTATTATTAGAATGGAATAGAGTGGAATGAAGTAATGGTATTTGAGGGAAAATGAATTAATTGATATCGATTATCGGTTATGATTGTCTCGTATTTAATCAATACGGACTGCGAAATCCATTAAAGCACTACACGTAAAGAAAAGTCCGAAAATTTTGGTGGGAAAATTCCCGGAATAATTCTGGTGCTGTACTACAATGTGCCAGGACATGAAAATATGTCCCACGAACTAGAAAATCTGACGTTCTTATCACTAAATCTTCTTTGCCAGCAAAGCAGAAATTATTTGGCAGACTAACAATTTTTTCTGTATTTTTTATCACGAATCCTTTTCTGAGTATTACGTAATACTTTCCAAATTAAGAAATTTGAAAATCACTCTTGAAAAATGCTATTCCCTGACCAAAATCACGTTTTTTAAATTTATACATTGATGATTTTGTTGATCATCATTGAAATTCATGTAGTCTATTGGCAGTATGGATGAGAATTAAATCCCATTATACATCATTTTCAAGGGAGTTTTTGTTACATTTGTTACAGCATTACATCGAGTAACGTTTTTGAAGCTGAAGCGCCATCAATGAATAAACTCACTTTCACCAAATTTTATCAATTTTGGTTCACACATTGTTTCCACACGTACAGTTTACTTGATGTACCAATTAAATGGTAATGCCGAAATTAACACAATAATCACTAATAATCATATAACTTTGCAGAACCCGAGCTAACGTTGCCCGACGTCGACATCGAGACTAGAGGGGAAACTTAAATCAGGCTAGAATAAAAATTTGACTACACGGAGAAAACAGTTGAAGAACAATTACCAAATAAGTCATGTAATCATGGAGCGAAATCCATTTCTACGTCATTTTAATTTGTGCCGAAACTCAAAATTTATCCCATGCCCTCCACATGGAAGCCTGAAAAAAAACGCTACTACTGTTTGGGAAATTTTACTATACCGCAATTTTGGCATCTATATGCGAAAGGTATTTCTATTGAACCATAATTTCGCTCCACGATTCCCTTGTATATAGTAAAATTTGCCACGATTTTGTAGTACTTTTTACTCAACTTTTCTCTTCGCGCAGTGAAATAGTAATTATCGTCATCAGGCCCCCAAAGTATTTTCTGACGAACGCGGCTTTATAGTTCGAGCCGAAGGCGAGGACTACAATCACACTAGTCAGAAAATACTTTTGGGAACCGTGTGAGGAATGTCACTATTGGAAATGGGATAATTTAAATATCCAAACCGGTAAATAAGTAAAATAACTTAATTAATTAGACTTTACTTAATACGCTCGGAAGACCCATCTGCTCTTTACTAATTCCTCTGAGGAACTGAACAAAATGACAAAGGCATAAGCGGTCCTATTCATTCAACTCTGTTGAGAGCCAAAAACCAAGAGCATAAACATCATAGCCCTACACTACTCAGAATTTTCGTCAATAAAAATGTTCTTCATACCCGTGTGTGAACATAGAGACAAAAATATAAGATTAATTTTTGCCTCGTATTATCTCAACTTGAAATTCAACAGTCACTTTTTCTCATTGGGACAAAAACCTATTTTTATCAGTTTTGGATCAGAAATGTAATCCGTGTTTGGATCCATGCCCGATCAAAATGCTAAAATCCGATCTTTCTGATCATTACCGAATCAGATACGAATGCAGTTGAAATCGGAATTCACTGCGTCACATTGGGGCGAGATATTCTCTTCGGAATTCCACCAGATCCTGATCTCCAAGTCTAATCTACATATTCTGACCAATATCGGATATTCATCTTATCGCTGCGCACGGGAGCTAAACTAACTGCGCTTTGGAATGATCGTCTCCGATTCAATGAACATAGAAATTTTGGATCTGGTCTCATTCTCGAAAGATGCAGTATCGGCTCCTCTCGTGATGATTCCGCATCAATTCACCTCATCTCGGTTTCGAGTTTTTCGCGTTGAAACCATATTCATACCAGAACTTCATTTTTTAAAAGGAAAATGTAAGAGTGCCGTGCGACTAACTGACAACAACCGTAAATCCTGGGCGTAATTCTACCCCCACTCCTCTACAAAATGTCGAATACTGTATGTCTATTGAATGACATTCCAATTGATGAATAATCTCCGGAATCTCGCACAAAATTGTTAGACCCAAAAAATGCAAGAAAATCGAGTGCACTGATAGAAAGGATTCGTTGTTGCTAACAAATGGATTTGGTTGGAGGGTCTATTCGATCTCACCAAGTGTTCATTCGTTAATAGTTAACAAATACATATTTGAGGAGCTTTATGTTTGACTCGACTTTCACCTTTCAAGTGAACCATTCGTTAACTATTAATAAATATTTATTTGATCGTATTCAACTCTATCATTCGTTAATAGTTAAGGAATCTCGTTTGGAATAAATGAATCATTCCATCAGTGTGCTAGCTCCAAAACTATTCCCGGGCTTTAATGTAAGAATTTAGAATTGGTATTGTTTTTCTAGTCCTGAGTACTGGAATGTTCATAACTGTTGACTCTCCTTGGCTCACCAATATACCCCTCACCCCGATTTGAACTAGTGCTAGATAATCAAAGACTCCCTTGGCTCTATCTTCGAACAATCACCCAGTGGGGTCGAACGCAGTATTGCGACGTGACCCTTGACCTGCTTGAAGCAACAAAGGAGTCATTCAGAGGAGGCTTCAGCTCCCTCGCCATTGCATGACCACTCGACCTCTTCGTTGGTCACGCCAAATCCAGAACATTCTCTTTCATGAAGAAGGGGCCCAATCGATTGATGTTGTTTTCCTGCCATGCTGCTATTTTACCTGTACCAAAGAATCTATGAAAAGTAAAGGAACAATAGAGCGGAATGAATAATGGAGACACTTTCACGATAAAAACTGTCAGATAAAATTATTTATGTATTTTTCTCAGAACATCGACACTAAAGAAGCACAGGTATTATAAAGGATGAAATTTTATGATTTGCATGTACTTTTGGAACAGAGATCGGCAGGAAAATAATGTCCATTATTAATATGTCATTACAATATCCATGGTTAATGAAAAAAATTGATTCATCATTTTTTTTGTAATGAATAATAATACCGGATATATTTTTCATGTTCACGGCAATGAGAAATGCAAATAAAAAAATAAGGCAATAATTTTTCAATCAATAATGGTACAAAATTCATTTTCATTATTATATCAATGGAAAATGTAAAATACGATGGCTTTGGTCACAAATAATGGGAGTATTTCAATTTTATTAAAATATTCAAGTGTAATTCCTGTTTAGATAAATGATAATTTTTTTATTTTAATTATCACTCATTGATACGGTATTAAAACAAGTGGGAAGTGGCTCTTGTATAGTATATAGTATAGTTATTTTTGCTAATAAATTTCCAATATGCTTCCGAATGGCTGGTTTGCACTTAATTCCCTTCTATCATGAATAATTCTTTGTTAACTTCATCTTATTAAATTGAAAAAGATTTCTCTTCAACTAATTCTGTCAGATTTTCAACTTAGTTGAATGTTATCATCACCATTATTCTTATTATCTCCTTCTTCTATACAGCTGAGTGTCTTTTTTACAGTTCTATCTCTCCCCTCAGCCGTTCAATAAAATGTTGATAGACAAATTTTATTTACACATACTTCAACGAATTTAAAATATCACATTTGAAGAAACCATCAGAAAGCTCAGTTTCAGGGAAATTCATGATAAATTCGAAATTTTCAACAATCATCATAAAAATTAAAGCAACCAATATAGCTATTGTGATCATCTTTTAACTTCGACTTCATGGCATTAAAACAACCATTTTAAGCTATGATTGAATTCATTTGAGGCATGATATTCAAAGATAACCCCGGAATTCTGGTTTTCAAAAAATAAATCACAATAACGATTATTACTATCGCCTCCATCTTCGAACTCTGTCAAACGGACATCCAAACAAATTTTTTGAGCCGTCATTCAATCAATTCAGAATATTTTTTGTAGTTATAGTGGGATAACCGATTTTCGAAAACCAGGTCTAAAAATTGCATTTTCATTGCTCAAGCCCAAAAAGGGCTCTTTTACCGACGGTAGTTAAGCATGAGAAGTAGGTCTTTTTACCGTTGAGCAGTATAAAAGTGNTCGGACTTTTTGAATCATACTGGGTCGACCTAACACAAAGAATCCAAAACTGAAATTTGAACGATTACAAAGTTGCCATTCGGAAGCAAAAATGTGAATTTCTCAATATTCAGTAGTAATACCCCAAGAGCTTCAAAATTTTCGAGTATTTCCCAACAGCTTCGTTGCAAACAAATGAGGGTGTCACGTTTTGCAGGTTAAAAAATCTCGAGCGCTTGCGCGAGGGATTTTTCTGCAAAGCTTGGCACGATAGTTTGTTTGCAAGGGAGCTTGAGGGAAATACGCGATTAATTTTGAATCTTGAGGGGTATTTGTCGGATTATTTTTCCCAATCGGATTTTAGCCAAGCAGAGGGTAGTGGACAACATCAGCTGGTGAATTGGGGAAGATTTGAACAAATTATGTTAATAGAATAACCCGATTTCCATAGACTGTCAAATATAAGATTCTATCTGAAATGAGCCGAAAAAATGAAGAGCTGCTGCGAAATATTCAGGTAAAAACATGAAGAACTATTCCGAAATATTCAAAAGCTAGGAGGAAATATCCGAAATAAAACTGTCAGGTAGCCTCAAATACTGCGCTCTGATTGTTCGAAACCCGATTGGAAAAAATAATCATTCATAATATAATGAAAAATATTTCCACGTTAATAGTGATCAAGCAAAAAATATGTATTTCCGGTGCAAATATTGGTGAAATAG